GCCAGGCCCCACTCCGACCCGTGCCCGGCCCTCTGGTTCCCCGGTAGACTGAAGACCGACCGTTGATTTGCAATGCTGATATGAACGCACTAGGTCCGCCCACGGCCCGCCGGCCCGTCCGCCCGCTCGCCTTTCTGACTTGCTGGGGGGGGAGCCATTGGCGTGTTGCTAAACTTCAGGTGATTTTATGTTTGCTTCTCTATACCCCTCTTCCCTGCCCCCTTCCCCTTACTCCCCCCTATAGAGGAAAAGGGGATGGGGTAGTTGAGTGAGGGAGGGGGCAGTTGTATGGCCTTTGCGAAGTTTCCGACGCGATGTGGCCAGCGGGAGGGGGCGGGGCCAGGAAACTAATTATGCCTCTCTTACTTTCCTCCTATCTACTTGCGAATACTAGTAGTTAAGCTTGGACAGGCGGGCGGGCGGGCTGGCTCTGGCTACCCCTCTGGATCCACCACCTCCATCACCCATCTCTCAGGGTAAATTTATTAGGGTAATCACTTAGTATTCCTCCCGATTCTGGGCTGTGTACCCACAACACCACACTCCACACTCTCAGGCGTATAGATTCTAAAGTGAAGTGGGGGTGATTTTCATGTTTACCGTACCTATTTTACACTCTAAATTGTGATGGACTCCTTGAAGGAATAATTTTTCCATTAAAAGAAGCAATTTTGGGCACATCTTGGCGAATTTGCATCTTTCCTTATGACAAAAATGAATCTTTTAAGCGACAAAAAGTGCCCTTCAGTGTGCCAAAACATAAGGTTAATTAGTTGAATTATTTAAATAATGTTTGCATACAAGTGAAAATGTTTATTGTGTAATTAACTTGAGCAATATAGGGGCGAATTTTTCATATCGGCGGTTGCAGGTGCCATAATCAGGACCATCCTCTCTCTCGCTCTCCCTGTCCCGGCCGTCCGCTCTCTTAGGGCCAAAGTTTACTGCCGGCGGTGCGTGGCGCGCCCTGCCGGCCGTCACGGCAACTCTCGGCGGAGGAACGGCGGGAAAAACAATCGCAAAGCGTTTTTTCCCCCTGGCTGGGCAGCGGGCCACTCGCCGTCACTGCCCTGGAGGAAGTTACACTTGTGTGAGGGGGAAGATTTTTACTTCGGGGAGGAGAGTAGAAGTAGTAGTGGCAGGGGTTGGGGGTAAGGAGGCAAAGAGTGGGAAAAAAAGTGGAGGAAAAAAATGGCAGAATGAAAGCAAAACAAAATCGCCGCCTCTCTGTCCTGTTCCCGGCTCCGCCCGGCTCACTCGGGTGAAAGGAAGCCGCCCGAGGCGTCGCCGTGCAAAGGGGGTGGGGCCGGACAGTGTTAAATCTGAGTTTAATTTGCAACTTATGCGTCCCGGGGTGGCGGTTGCCTGGGGGAGGGTCGGCGTGCGGGTGTTAGGCCGGGAACAAGAAAGAAAACAAAGTGCTCACCCCACTCAGTTTCCGGCATATTCTTCCTCCTGAACTCGTTGGCGTTATACACTGGTAATTGGAGCACCCGGTCACCACCTATGTGAATAAGATGGCCCTGCCTGCATCCGAACCGGAATACACAGTGTGAGAAAATAGGTTGCAAAATAATATTTCTTCTGTTCCTCTTTACATATTCCGGTTTGGTTTCCATGCAAGTGGACTACTTTTACTGAAATTCGTTTTCAATGAGGTCTACTAATGAAATTTGTCTTCTTTTGCAAATCACGAACCAGACCCTCTGTAACTTTGTGAGTAGTACCCATAAACGAGGGGTATACGCCGGCGCGAGGAGTCCGTGTGGATTCGTGAATATATCGGGGACGTGCATTACGCCATGCTATTTCAACCGCGCGTGGCTCTTGTCTCTTTTCCTCTTTTTAATGCAGAACGGTAACTTAATTCTGGAAACCCGTGGCTGTCTGATCTTTACCATTACCTTTGTTATACCTGTGGGGTACGGGGAGGTGCTTTTTGTTCTGTTTTCCAAGCTTTACAAAATAACGTGGAAACGACGTTACGAACACCGTCACACTCAGTGCGAGAGAACCCTTGAGACGTAACACGGTACGGCCATGGAGTAAAAGTAACTCAAGTACTTATATGTCGTTGGCATGGCGAGTACTCTCACAGGTGTGAGACTTCCTCACACTTGTGGTAGACAGCAGCCGGCAGCGCAGCCGTGAAACACGTGAAACAACTCCAGTTATTGCAACCCTCCCCGTTGCCTTGACCGACACGTTCGCGCTGCTCGACGCCCAACCGGAAACGGATGTCGGCGTAATAACGAAACCCACACCGGAAGTGAGATTCAATGGCGCCGCGGGAATCACCCCCTATTACGCTGCTCGTTGCGCCCCTAATGCGAGGGGCTGCCTACCTCTGCACGGCACGGGGGCGGAAGAAAAGCTGGCAGCACCATGAAAATTATTCTTAGTTTATTC